TGCTGCTCAGCACCACAAAGCAGCTGTGGGTTCAGCTGCAGCTGTTCCCATATCCTGGTGAGTGAAGGGGGCACGGGCAGCTGTTATTCCTATGATAAAAAAACCCAAAAGCAGACACCAAAATGTATATTTAGAATTTATTTTAGGGGAGGAGCAGGTCCCAGCTCCCTGCCACAACTTGCTGGTGGGGCAGTTAGCAGCGATTCCCTGGCTAGGTGGGGATTCCCTGGCCAGCTGGGGGCTCACTGCTGTGTGCCCCAATGGTGGACCGGAGCAGGGAGCTGGGACCTGCCCCCTCCCCTGCAGATCTTTTCAAGCCTATGCCTCAATCGCCAGATTGGGGCACAGGGCTGGGAAGAATCTGCAGGGCTGGGACCTGAACCTGACCAGGACATTACCCACCCAGCCCTGGGCTGTGGGGGGAAGTCTGCACATGTAGCCTAGAACTAGCTGGGGACTGCCCGAAACACAACCGTCTCCAGCTACTTCCAGGCTGCATGTGCAGATTTCCCCCCACAAAACCCCAGGGCTGGCTGGGAACTGTCCAGATCAGGGGCAGGTCACAGCCAGCTCCAGGCTGGGCAGGAAACTCTCCCTGGGTAGGGAGCTCCCAGCCCCAGTTTTGTGATTGTAGAGTTGGGGATGGAAGCTTATCCCCAGCCCCAGCTCCACGATTGTGGAGCAGGGGTTGTGAGCTCCCTGCTGCCAGGGCAGGGGGGCAGTGTCCCCACCCAGGCTCCAGTGGTGGAGCCTGCCCTGGCAGCACGTAGCTCCTGGGGCAGGGAGCAATCTCCCACCCCTTGCTGCCTGGCTGACCAGGAACATATTTTCTCACAGTCAGCCATCTGTATGTGCCATACTGTACAGTAATGACTATGCAGTTAATTTGCTACTTTTATTTGCAGGTAGCAAATTAGCTGCTGAATAAAGTACTGCACAGTAAGGGTCAGCATGTATAGATGGTGACACTTACTATGCAATAATTAACTCTACTGCACAGTAAAGCATCTCATTTAGACTCACTAGGAGTTGAGACGTATATGATGCTTTCCCTATACCAGGGAAGCATACATCCACTAACAAGTTGTGGGGTGTGAAGCTAAGAATCTCTAAGCTACATCTGGGTCGCTATTCTATACCTGGGATGGTTTAGCTTAGCATTACCTGTTGCTTAAGGCAGATCACAAGATGCCAAACTGGCCTTAAATATTTGTTGTTGTTTATCGTTAAGAAGGATATATAATAGAATACAGTTATGATGGGAATTCCCAGATGGTGCTGTTATACAGCCTTACAAGTGTTTTTTTCTAAGCATGCAGGCACCATTTGAGTTTTGAAGAAAATGCTGGATTGGCACTTTTCTGCAGAGAAAGCTGTTACATGCAGAAAGAGGGTGTGCTCCCTATGGCTGAAGTTACACGTAAACCAGTTTAGGTGATCAGAAACTGGTTTAAACTTGTAACAGAACAGAAGCTCAGTGTACATAAACCAGTTTCAAAATGGCTGAAGCTGTTTTAAAATAAACCTGGTTAAATGTAGCATCAGACGTAACTGGTTTAGGTCAAACCGGTTTATGAAACTTCTGTCCCAGACCCCTTCCTGGTTCAAGTTAAATCTGAATCTCCCAGTATCCCAGCATGCTTTCCAGTCCTGGGCTGGGCTATGTTGTCTGCTCCAGCAGAGAAGGGCTGGGGCGGGGCAGGGATTGAGCTCTCACCCCAGAAAACTCCAGCTGGGGTCTAGGGCCAGGGTGGGGTGTTAAACTTCCCTTCCCCAAGTACAGAGTTGCCTTGCCCTGCTAAAAACTTACTGCTGGCTGCAACTGTGTATTACAAATCCCAAAGACACCTGGAACCAGGAAGAGGAAGTAATGAGCAACCCCACAGACTCTTGCTGCTGTGATTCTGGACTGCAAATCCTAGAGACTTTGGGGGCAGCAGGAAGAGAAAGCAAATACACAGTCCATGCTGGCTAAATGCCAGACAGCTGTGCTTTAGTGCCACCCCAGCTTCTGGCCTGAGCCACTGCAGGCATGTGGCTACGTTTCCTGAATCAAAAGTGGAATATCTGTCCAGTTGTTTCTCAGTTTAATCACTGCAGCTTAGACTAACCTGCAAAGACTGAATCGATTCAGCCTTAGGCTTTTTGACTATCTGTACTTAGCCAGTATCTCTCTAACTAAGATCAATTCTTAGGGGGGAAATTGCTCCCTAGGAACTATCTGCATCCTGAAAGAGGAGGCTTTCTAAGTGCTGTTTGACTGTTGTTCAGGAGCTAATTTGTATAGTGTAACTAAAACAAGTTGCACTAAGAAAATACCCAGACTCCAACTCAGAGTTCTCTTCCAACAGGAAACTGACCAACAATGCCCTGAAATGGCTACTACTTTTCACAGAAGCAAAAATACTGTTTATTTAAATGTGCAAACAGTTATATTGGATGGCTTAAAATTTATTACAGGACATGGATCCTTTTGTCTTTAGGCAGTTTTTTTATTTCTTTTTTCAGATCCACAGGGAATCTTTTATCACCATTGTTCTTTGATAGCAATGCTGATGCCAACTTATTACTATATATTTTAGGATTTTTTTCTTTGTTTCAATAATAGGAAATTATATATATATAATTATATACAAGTACTTCCGGTCCACTTCTGGATCTGCCGCTAAGCGCACTGCCCCCCCCATGCCCTCTTGGCTCGGTGATTGGCCGCGGGGAGACCCCGAGTGCCCCCCCAGACTCAGGAGGCACCAGTTGCCAAGCTGGGGGGCCACGGAGGGGGGGTTCCCCAATGTGCTCCCTGGTGGACTCAGAAGTGGACTGAAAGTGATATATATAATATATATATACCACGCTTAAGATTGCTTTATTCATTAGAGTCTGATACTGCATGCCCTTTTTAGTTTCAAATGAAGAGTGCAGGATGGGTGTGTGTGTGTGTGTGTGTGTGTGTGTGTGTGTGTGTGTGTGTGTGTGTGTGTG